CCCGTATAACACGGTACTTTTATAGCACGGATTCACTCTGACACGGTTCGAGAAATGGGTAAAACCCTCGTACAACATGAAATGTAATAAATTTTTACATACTTAAGTTCTAATAGTTCACGAAAATTATTATTTTCGTGAACTATTAGTACTTCAGTGTGTAAATTTTCTTTTCTCGTCTCCGTACACATGGTTCTTCGCGAAAATTGTTTCAATTTTGCCAGATCTCGACGCTTCTACTTCTGATGTTTCCAGATGTTTTTCTCTTATTCCATAAGTGCTTAGCATCATATAACTTGCCAAAAATAAAACGCTCTCGGTTAATAGTGCTTTTAGTGACGACGAAGAAAACATTGTTTAATTTATATTAATATGTATCACTTAAGAAAATTTTAATAAAGATATTTATCTTAATTATGAAAATATAATAGCATGTTTTTTAATTTTTGGATCCTAACCCCCCTTTTCACTCTAGTTCTTTGTTTCGTATAACACAGATTCGCATAACATGGCAGTTTTTTGGAACATAACTCCTATGTTATACAGGGGTTACCTGTACTAATCATAAAAGTTCATAAAAGCCAAAAACAATAATGAAAAATTCTGTTACTCCAAAGTTACCAACTTTGATGTCATCTCATGAGCATCAATTGTCAGCTACTACTATGTGGGGACCCCCACATAGTAGTGACTGACTGGATCCTAGTCAGGTATGAAGATGACCAGCTTGCATGTTTTGCTTTGCTTTGATTTTCTTGTGGAATATTCAGTTCAATTTAATTGGAGTATTTAATTTCTGTCATTCTTTCAGTTCTTGTGTTGGTTGTTATTTTGTTTTTGTTTTTAATGTCATGTTCGTCATTGTAAAATTTGTTAGTGTAATTCCTCTATTGTCTCTAATAAATCTAATCTATGTTTTTGTAAATATATGTTTAATTTGTGAATGAAAATAATATTTTTTGTCATTTAGCTGCCTTATCATATACAAAAGCAACTGCAGCGGCTGAATGGTTAGGTCCCTTGTCTCACACCACTAAGGTCTCGCGTTCAAGTGGGAGGGGGCTCGCCAATGATCCTGATCTGGGATTTAGTGCTTGTAGGGTGTGGAGGCCATGGCATCAATGGACAACTTGCAATAGAAATAAGCCACATAAATTATTTATTATTGGCCAAAGACTGATTTAACAGCATTCCATAAGCAGCAACTGAACTTCAGAATTAGTGTGAAATTTAAATTTCAGATGTATGGTCAAACTGTATGTCTGAAAGTTCATAAGTTGAATGTTTGTAAGTAGAGGAACTCCTGTACAGTAAAATTTTGTTAAATCAAAGTTTGAGGTAAAAATTCCCTACTTTTAGTTAGAGTTTTGAGTTAATGACTAATATCCAATTTTCTGTTATCAAGCTATCTCTCAAGAATCTGTTTACAGAATGATTACAAAATTGTATACAGTTTATGATGCTTTTGAGTGCATTGTCAAGGTGTTCTCTCATGTCCCAACCAGAATGCCAAAACATACTGTATTAATAAAAAGATGTAGATTCAAGGCTGTAAGGGTGTGGTGTTGTGTTTGGCATGGAACTGTTATAACCAAATAATCTGATGTATTTTTTGGGCTATATTTTAAGGCTACTTAAATTAATAATCAGAAGCATTTTGTCAAGAGTAGTGGTCTCCAAGTGGGATTGTGTTGTTGCAGATAGTGTTTATTTTAATTGTCTGTATTCACATCTATATATATAAAATTGCTTGTCCTGACTGACTCACTGATTCATCATCGCCCAGAGCAAACCGCTGGACCTAAAGAGCAGAAATTTGGTACACAGTTAGGGTTCGTCATGAAAACGCACACTAAGAAGGGATTTTTTGAAATTCCCAAGTGGGGGGGGGAGAGGGAGAGCATTAAAGCTTAACTGGAAAAACGGCTTCTACAGTACTATTTTAGATGCGATTTTTTGTTTTCAATTACATTTAGTCTTCATTGAGTACTTAGGTGTATTAAATTAATAACATTTCAGACATTGTTATAAATATTTTTATCTATTTCGATTTTAAAAATGTTCGAACCGTTTTAAATTCGAATTTGTTATTGCATATTGGTTCGATTATAGAACGATTGTAAACACTCCAGAAAATTGATCAAATTGAAGATAGTTCGTTTGATTCTCGGCAATTCTCTTCAGCGGTAGATGTTATATAACAATTACTATGGTTATTGAAATATTGAATGTAAATGGGGTTTGCTTGCAAAACCTCCACGGACGAAGTCGCGGGTAACAGCTAGTGGAATATAAAAGAAAATGAAGGCCATGAGTTTATCAATGGGTGGTGAGTACCCAAGAAAATAAGTTTGAGTTAAAAGTACTAACAATTTCAAGTTAATGAGATTGTATTATGTGGAAGAAAAACCTATTTACTTTTCCTGGGAGCTGTAGACACCTTTGAGTTAATGTTCAGTTTAACTTAGTGATGTTTTGATGTGTATGAATTACAACAACCCAATACTTTAATATTGCCAAGTGATCTGCA